ACCAGCATCATGGCATGCCCTCATGGATGCCAGTGTGCCTCAATTTTCCCCTAGGTTCTCTGGGGATTTCTTTCTGGAGAGGGAGGGTGGAGCAGGATATGGTGCTGCAGTCAAAACCAAGCATTTTTGTCTCCTCCTCCTTCTTCCTCCTAACATATCAGCAGCTCTGTATAATGAAAATCTAAATCATTTGTGTGCACACATAGCAACTGTTTATTTGCTGTTAGCTTTGAGGACTCAGTGGGGGTTCAAATCTCTTTGAGAAGAGATCAACACTAAGAGCTTAATCTCATAAGTAGAAAAAATGAAAATTGAAGCTGCAGATACATCTTTCTACATCTGAAGGAGAGGCCAGTAATAAATGTCCTTTGACCTCAGCCCCCCTCCATCTCAGCAAATGTTTTTCAACCAAGGACATGGGGTGGAGATGACTGCTTGGAAGAGCCCTGCCTCCTACCTGCTAAGAAAGCTTTACTGGGCCTGGTTGGATATTGATTGTGAGTTCTAGAAATAGCACACCTTTCCCCTCAAGCCACCAAGTGGGATGCCTTCCATCTTTTACAAAATGCACTCACTGTTAGTTTTCTTGAAACATCCGTTTTTTTTTCCCATGGACAGCCTTCCCTGGGGCCAATACAATCCTGAAGCTTCTCCACATTAGTATTTCTACCAACAGTGAATGGCATACTGAAGAAAGTGCCCTTATTACATTGTAAGGGGCCAGACCTTCACACTTAGTACAACTTGTCTGACAGTTTATAAAGCCTCTGCTTCCTAGCAGCTTCCTCATCCCCTCAATCTCACAGCAAAAATCCTCATATCGCCACCTATTCTTGCAGAAACTATAACTCCCTTTCCTAGAAGCAGGAGCCTTTCCATCTTGGTTTGGGACACATGCTCCCACAAGGCAGGAACCCACTGCCTGGAAGTCACCGGCAGGTGTCTGTCAATGAGGCAGCTACTCCCCTGGGAGCAGGGGTACTGAGGGACATAGCATTAGAGGAGGGCACTGCTTAAGACAGACCTGAGTGACTTAAACTTGTAGTATACCAAGGGCCACTCCGGATATCGAAACTGTAACCCTACAGGCACAGGGACATGCCTGCTGAGTAGTTGCTGCCCATCTGGCATTGTTTCCCAAAGGAATGCCCTACTACATGGGCCCATAAGAAATGCTCATTGGGTCGCGAGCTAACCTAAGCAAATAGCTTCTTACCTTTCACCCACACCAACTCCCACCAAGACCTAAGTGATTCCAGAAGTCAGAAAGGACCCCTGGTCAGTTACTTCATCTATGTACACAGGTGGGAAGCACGACAACCAGCCAGGCATGGGACAAACCACAATCTCTGAGGTCCTCAGTTGACTCATTTGGCCCTCTCCCTGACCCATGGGGTTCTCCTTTCTCTCTGTTCAACACCAGTGAGAGGAGGCAGGCTTAGCTTCCAAGAATGTGCTCCAGGCCACAGGAAAAAAAAAACAGCCCAGTCAGACATCTATGCAAAAACAAGACTTGGCAGGAAAGAAACCAGACGCAGGCAGGGAGGAATTTAAATTCAAATTGAATGAGGGGCTGGACCCCTCTTTGAGTATAAGCCTCTGCAGGTCTGATTTCTTCACTGAAAAGAAAATCCCGTTTAAATCCTATTCCCTTTCCCTGGAAAAGGGGAGGAAACATTCCAACTAACTAGTACCTTACACAAGGGGATAGTCATTTAAAATGGTTCTTTTGAATTAACCCCTTCTTGCTCAGTCTCCTCTCTAGGGTACAACAACTTCACAGTATGTTCAAGTACTTGGACCATGGCAAGCAGCAAAGTATAGGCTTCCCAGGAAGCAATGTGTAAAGGAATTAAAGTGTCAGGGGCTAAGAAACCCTCACTGAGGTGTTATTTTCCATTTGCCCCTCACACCCCAGAAGTCCACTCTGCCTTTCTCTGTGCTCTGTGCCAAAGGAAGCTGACCTCACTGGACTGTAGCAACAGGCTTCCTTGCCAACTGGTGCCTATCTGGGTCTGGCTAATGGTGGGCACTGAAAGGAGATCAGAGCATTGGAAATATGTGGATTTTATGCCCCTATCTTCTTCCCAGCAGGGCTGCGTTTAGGCAAAGCCCACACTGTGTGACCTAAAGCCACAGTTCCTATCAGGCAGCCCCGCATGAACTGGTACAGCTCTTGCGTGGTTCTACAAATGTAGTTTCTTCCCTTTGCCCCTTCAGTCTAGGAGGTGATAACTGCTCCCTGCTGTTTGTAGTCTCTGTACACTTCATCTTCACTTGTACACTCTTGTGATCCTACCTGGACCACCACAAAGAGTCCCTTCATTATGCTGATCTCAGCTAAGGATGTCTTACTGAGTATGCCATTTGTTTCCTGTCAAGACCCTGACTTAAATACTTATATCACTTTCACAATTTCCATCCCACAGAATTCTGGAAGGTGCCCTAACCTGAGAAGAGAGATCACCTGATCCAACAGCCTAAGGAGAGTGATCTGCCTGTTCTCAAATGTCTGACATATTCTCCATACCCTGGGCTATCATACATTAAAGTTGCCTTATTGAGTCTGTAGACTCCATTTTTTGTTATGTATAATAAAAAGAGGTTTGAGCTAGTTCTATTTTTGTTTTACCTGTCCGTAGTCATCTTTCTTGGGGAAAGGGGATGTTACAAACCCAATTACACTGCTTCCCTCCTAGTGAGGTATGTTCAACTTGCCTCACCTTCAACATTTAAAAAAATTCAGTTCCATGACAGAGAGAAGACTTGACATGAATTCAGTCATCAGGCCCTTGCTCTGTTATTCCTCTAGTAGTCCACATCCTGATGACAGGAATCATCCAAAATCCAGAGTGGTCATCGCAAAATTTTCACTTGCCCTCTCCTGCACATATTCTTAGACATTAAGTGCTGTGGGATCTAATTCCAAAATATCTTCTTTCAAATGCGTCCATCTGCTCAAACCCCAGGGTCACTACTGTAATTTAGGACTTGATCTTCTTACACTTGGATTTTTGAAATTTCTCTGGTATCTCCCTATTCTCTTCCATTCTCCTCACTTCAGTCAAATGGTCTTTGAAAAAACACAAATATGTTCATGTCACTTCTGTGTCAATGGCCCTCCCATAGCACAAAATGCAAACTCCTTATCTTGGTATAGAAAGTCCCACCGGACCTGGTTCCTATTTCTTTTTTCAGCTTCATTCTTGTCGCCTCCCTTTTTATACCCTATTCATCATTTTCATGATGGCTCCATGTTGTATCCTGTCTCCCTGCTCCTGCTCTCTCTGCTCCCCTGTCTAGTACCCTCTAACCTTTGCTGGCTAACTCCCCTGATTCATCTCTCAGGCTCATTTTAGGCATCACCTATTCTAGGAAGCTTTCCCCAGAACCCCTTCATCCCAAGTTGGTTTAAAAGCTCTTCTGTGTGATCCTTTAGCCCAGCTCCTCTTCATTTACTAGCACTTAACACACTGTTCAGCAATTCTTTATCTACATGTGTGTCAATACCCCACTGCTATCCCTTTTAGGGTGAGAAACTGTCTTCATCTTTTTATATACACAGGTATTTAGCACAGAATGTGGCATATAGTTGGATACTCAAAGTGTCCTGAATAAGTGAGCTCATGAATAGAGCATGTGCTTGAATTCACTTACCTATATTAAGACCGATGTAAGGACCTTGACTCTTCTTGGGATGGTATATTACTAATGAAGCTAGTTTTTGCCATTTCTCTCCTTCCAGGTCGAGCTGTACCCAAACCATTCTGGAGTGATTAAGAATAGAAACAGATGTGCTGGCCTTTTAAGTCACAGACCCTCTCTAGTCCCTAAAGCTCTACTTATGGAACAATAGAGATGACCTGAATTAATTGGGGGGAGGGCAAGGCAAATTCTGCCGCTGAGAGAAATCAAGTTCTATACCATCCATCAGCCTTGAATGCAGATGGGATAGAGGCCAGGCCTGAAAATACATCAGCCTTAGATGATTATCAGGGCTGTGTTCTCTCATATCTAATTCACCCCAGATGGACGGGAAAACACTTGATGAGCAGTCTTTGAAACAGGCAGAGAAACTTGTATCATGCTAGGAATGACTCTAGGGACAAAAGGCCACTGTGGATTTCCTAGTCAATAAAAACAAACTCTGATAGAAATTTCAATAAGAAGCCAGCAGAAACATTCTGTCATCATCATTGTGAATTCATGTTTATTGAGTGGACAACAAATGCTTTTCTCTGCTCAGAACATTTGATGAACACAGTTTATATATCTATAAGGGACTAAGGAATACTTGCCACTCCTTTGATGCCAGTCACCCACCCATAACACAAAATGAACTCTTATGAATATTCTAAAGCATAAAGAGGAAAGGGTTTTAGATTATATGCAAGCATCCCTGGTTAGTGTTTTCCCCACCAGAAGTCACCATCCCCACAATTGGAAGGGAAGAGAAGCAGGAGAAAAGAGGAAGAATCAAGGGATAGTCTTGAGAAAGTTACAAAAATTTGAGCAGTGGCACTCCGTAGATGTTTGTAGATGCAATAAATACCAGGAGAAGGGCCATGTGAATGGAGTCGTGGGAATCAGCCCTGTCCATCTCCTGGTTCCTCCCTGCACAAGAGTACTTATCCAGCCTTTAAGCTTTAAGGTAAGTGATAGGAGCTGTAAAACTCTGAGGAGTGGCTTGATTGTCTAGTTACCTTTCAAGAGAGGACCTTTTCCTTATTTTGCACAAAGAAACACTTTGGGACCTAAGGGCTAGTGGGTACTCAGTAGCTAGGGAAACATCTGAGAGTATCATGGTTCTGGATGAATTTTGTAAGTAGCTGCTGACCCACTGGCTTAAGGGTAAGTGAAAGTGAATAACTGGTGAGCTAAAGAGCATACAAACTAGGCTATACTACTGGCAGGGGAATGGCAAGTGGCCCAGTCTCAGTAACTCTTTTCAAGTCTCCCCTCCCTCCTCTTTCCCACCCTCTCCAATTTTCTGCCAAAGCTTAAGGTTTGAGGCAGTGGTCCAGCTCCATGGCATACGAATTGGTGTTCCTCATGATGCTATGCACCAACATGACAGGTTTGTGGTTTCTTCCAGCAAAGCAAGATAGCCAGGTGCAGATCAGCATGGCAGCCGCTGCTCCACCTCCAGCACAGTAATAGGCCCAGCCAAGCCGACAGGTGCCTGTAGAAACAGGGAAGAGACACGAGGGTTGGGCTTTCTTCTCATACATTCTGTTCAGGATGTTGGGGTTAAAATGAGGTTAAAGGAAACAGTGAATACAACTGGGCTTCCTCTTTCCTTCTCTCCTCCTTTGCTGATGGCTGCTATTTGCTTTAGCAAGAGGTTCTAAAATTCTATTCTGTTATGGTAGGAATCTGGGGGTGATGTGGGTGGTGGTGATGGCGGTAATGCTAATGAAAATGATGACAAGAACACCTTGATCAAATGTCAAGGACTATGCTAAGCTCCTTAGGCATACATCTCATTGATCATTGAACCCTAACTAAATCTTGACCCAAGGAAAGAAGAAGAGTTATTATTTTACAAGGGATCAGAGTAACAGCTAACTGCTTAAATCAAGTGCTTAAGCAAACAGGTCTCCAGAAATTGGGGTAGATGCCAAGTGATATAAAATTGCAGAAGAGTCCTGAGAAGAGACAGTGACCTTCACCTACCTCACATTCCTGCAAAAAGCTAATCCTGACTACAGTTAGTGAGTTAAACATGTCAAAACTGACCTTCATGACAATTTACTATTTAATAACCAATTGTTTCTGTTCACATGGTGCCCAGTGGACCTTAATTCTCCTTCTTTTAATTGACTGGTTGACATGCCATATGAATCTAAGATGGCCCTTAATTAGGCTGCTTTGATTTTCCATTCAGGTCAGGCTAATTTATCCCAAATTTCCCACTTTAGAAATAGTTTTTCTACCACTAAGTCATCATATATGCTGTCTCTCCTTCCAAAAACTGCTTTTTACATCTTATTCACCAATTCATATCTTCCTCAGAACACTATTCAGGACTGAGCACCTCCAAGATGTGTTTTTTAATTGACCACAGTGGGCTCAAGCCTCCTTAACTAAGTAGCCCTGCAGGAATTCATCTGTACAGCCCCCACATGGGTGTACTTGTTGGAAGAATGTTGGGAGGAAGATTTCCATATCACATATTTTTCATCTGCGCTTTATCCTCTTCTATGTTGTTGGCTCAACAGTACAGATTGTTTCTTTCTAGATAATGCCTCCCATATTCTGTTGACAATGGGTGTCCAGTATGCATGATTTGACCTAACAATACTTTGAAGATGGATACACTTGTTTTTTTCAACCTTCAACACTCAAACTACTGGCTTAAAATTTGAATTGAAGGTACAGAACCAGCTATAATATATTCCGTTTGTTTCTGGAAAGTTCTATGGTCCTTCTCACCATAAGTCCTACACATATTCTGTTCCCTCTGCCTAAAATGCTTACTGTATGTTTATGTGTACACATACACTTCCCACCACTCTCTTTGCCTAGCCAATATTCAACATTCTTCAAAGCTTAGTTCAATCATTAATTCTTTGGTGAAGCTCAATCATTAATTCCTTAGTGAAACCTTTCCTAAGCACCCTAAGTCAAATTCCCTTATCTGAAGCCCTCACTAGCACTGTGTACTTTTCCTTATGTATTTGAATGAATGAGTGAATCCCTTATCCCCTTGCATGGCAAGTGTCAAATCTTAGTTCTTCAGAGGAGACAGTACTTTACCAATAGACTAAGGCAGTCATATAACTTCCTGAATTTCCATGGCCCCCACCCAAAATTATGGTGAAAGTCAGACTACAATAGCTATGGAAACAATACAATCCTCAGAGAGAGAGGGTGAATTTGAAAGAGAAGCCTTCTTAAAGAAGGGAATTCAACTATCTACAAAGTGGCCTCAACATGAACAATAATGGTGAAACTCTAGAAAGAGTAAATTGATGAATACCATATTGAAGCAAGCAGCCAGTAGAGATGTATTCCCCATCTCATTGCACTTCCTCCTTAGACACACACTCACTTACTCATTAAAAGTAGGAGATTTTATATAATTTGAGTTTCATAGAGTGAAAATTCGAGAGACAAGCAAACCTTCAACTTTTGCCACCCTTTGGAGAAAGGCAGCAGGCCATATTGTGCCCACTTCACAAACAGGAATGTGAGGCTCAGTTGATAGCCCTAGGAACTCTCTCAGAAGCAGAGAGAGGATGGTAGAGATTCAGACCAAAGTGTCTTTGCTCTCAATCCAGTGCTCTGACCTCTACTGGTTTTCCCATCCTCCTAGAGGCTGTTTTCCTCTTACAGGACCCTTGACCTGTAAGCCCTAAATAAGGGACAAAACCAATTTGTAATACACTCACCTGAGCTTCTCCCCTATCCCCTTCAACCAACATCTCATGTGCTCACATGACAGAGTAGATAGGAGCCAGCTCTGGGGTAATTTCCCCCACTCTGGTGTGCTCCCAATCTAGTCTAGACAGGGTATCAGAAGTCTCATTCTGTTTCTTCAGTTGCCTGTCAGGTTATCGCCCCCCATTAGAGTAGCAGGGATATTTCTATTAGGTACATGCACCCTGGGACCAGGGAAAGACTCATTTTGTAAATGATAGGAATAAATGCATAGCATGCCATTACCCCCAAAGCCCTAGGCAGGAAGAAAGCTGACAGAGTGGGCAGATTCAGAGTGAAGAGCTGACTAGAAATGTCTCAATAAACCTTACTGAAGTAAAGTCAGAACCAGGTATTGCTGCACTAGAAGCTGGCACCAACGTGTTCCCATTGCCACCCCAAGACACTCAGGTTTTTCTCACAGAAACTCCTTTCAGGCTACTGGACAGCAGCTAAGTTCCAGGCTGCTGCCACACAGGAAGCCATGGAGAAATGTAGGGAATGTATATTCTACACAACCCTCCTCACAACCCTACCTGTTATCTGCTTGAGGGAACAGAGAAGCTGTATTAATAGTATTGAAAAAAAAAAAGCAAACCTTTTAAGAACTGTATTTCCACCTTGACAGCTGCTATCAGTACTTACCTACTCCACAAAAAACTTGTACACTGGTCTGACGGCTCACACAGAAACTCATGGTTTCTATTTAAGTAGGGAGCTGCAGCAATGAGCTCCCACCCTTTACTTCCAATCGCTTTTTAGTGAAGTCCCGTGGATCATCACCAATCCCTAATCCTGTTCCTTGAAGTATTATTTGTTCCTCCTATTAATCTGACAAATGTTTATCAAGTACCTGCTATGTGACAGTCATTTTGAATATACCATCTCATTGGATTTTTACAACAGCCATGATTATTTCCATTTACAGCTGAGGAAACTGAGTCTCAAAAAGGTAAATTACTTTGCCAACATACAAGTTTCTGAGTTGAGATTTAAATGCCAGGATCAATAGCCCATGTCCATCCATTTCAACCATGCCAGAAGAGTGGAGCTAAGGAGAAAAATTGTTATGATCCAAGTTTTATGGGAAAGTATGATGCCTTCCACTTATTACTTCAACATTCTAGGTCCCAATTTCCTTTTTTTTAAGTGAAGGGAATTTTACTGGAGAGATTTCTAAAAGCCCTTTCCAATTCAAATTTTCCATTCTACTACGAATATGATAAATGCTTTGAGACATATGAGTAAAATTCTACAGGAAGATCCAAGGAAAGAGAAATTATTTGTAGCTGGGAGAATTCAGGTTCAGGTAAGGTTTTATAGAGGAGATAGAATTTCAATTTGACTTTAGGAGTAGGAAGTAGACATTCTAGACAGTGGGAGTAGTTGGTATGAGCAAACTTATATGAGTGACAAAGTAGACCACATGTTTCAGAAACAGCATTCCATTCAAAGTTATTTGAAATGGAGTGCTATAGCTGGCAAATAATAAATTGAATATAAACCAGAAAAGGAGCTCCAGCTGGCAAATAAGTTGAATCTAGACTAGGAAAAAATGGAATCCATCATCTTTCCCACAAGCAATGGGAAATAATGAAAAGTTTTTGATGAGAGAATGATGTCATAGAGCAAGGTTTCTTAATATTGGCACTATTAATATTTTGGACCAAGAAATTCTTTATTGTATGGGGATAGGATGGAGAGGCTTATCCTGTGCATTATGGCACCTTGGCCTCTACCTACGAGATGTCCACTTATCCCTCCCCCACTGAGTTGTGTAAAGCAAAAATATCAACAGATATTGCCAAATGTCTCCAGCGATGAAGAGTGGGTGGATTGTTTTCCATTCAGAACCACTGCATTAGAAGTATAGTTTGGGAAGATTAACCTAAAAAACTCTATATAAAAGGGATTGGAGACAGCTGTACACTATACGTAGAGACCAGTTAACCAGGGGCCAGGGATTCTGTTACACATCCAATGATACATAAAATAACCTCCCACAACAAAAAAAATGATCTGGCCAAAGATGTCTGTATTTTCAAGGCTGAGCAACCCTCATCTAGGCAAACACCAGATATTAACACTTTGAATTACCTCCAAAACAAATCTTGATGACTAAAAGATTAGCCCAACAGAACGGACAGTTCCCCCTTAAGAACAGCTGTATATAGTTCCTTACTGACCTGGGAAGCTAACTGGAACTGGGGCATGGTCAGCATTTTAGTATGTTAGCCCAGGGAAGCTGGGAAAGGTCAAGGAGAGAGATCTCACAAGGTATTGAGGAGGAAGCACTAGTTCCCTGGGAATTAGGATACTGGAGCCTTTGAAGAAGCTTCTTAACCCTACTGGATCTCAGCTCTCTTGCCCTTAAAATGGGAGAAAATAGTTAAGTACCTGCCTAAAGACAGCAATAGGACTAGATGGTTCTTGAGGTCTCTTTCAGAAATAGTAGTCAGGCTCACTGCTGCTTTGTCTTTCAGATTGAATGCACCAACTCTGAGCCTCATGCTAGAACTGTTCAAAGGCCTGTATCTTCAGAAAATGCTTCAGTGAACTGACACCACACCTGGAGATTATCTCTACATACCTGCATAGATATCTGTGAAGACTAGGTGGCCAGAGTAAGGGGAGAAAAGAGTTCCTAACTGCAAATTAGCTTTATGCAAAGCTTCTGGATGAGCCCTGAGATAAGTCTGTTCCTTTTTGTGCTTTTCTGTATCATTTCTAACACCCTATCTGTGAGTCATTCTATTCCAG